CAGCAGCTATATATTACACTGTGGCTCAAACCAGGCCATCTCCCAAATTTTAGAAACACAAAAGTGTATAGCCCTCTTTGTCCCCATCTGTTGGCTAATACTCCAGAACAGCATTGCTCATGAAGTGTAGCTCAAAATCAGGACCTGAGGTTTTTATTGTAAGTACCACATACACTGTCCTGAGCAATGAAGACTCTCATAACCATATTCCCTTATCAGTGGATGCAGATGACAGGGAAAATACCACAAAAATAAGGGATTGATTAATTTATGTGTTCTAAGGCAAAAGGATGTTTGTAATTGCTTAATATATATAGATAACCGTCTGTTGCTTCAAAAAGTAAAAAGTTGAAAAAATTACTTTCCCAAAATGTCATAGTGGCTTTCATAGTTTTTCTTCTTTAAAAAGTAATACTAGGAAGAAAGATATCTTCCATTTCATCTTTTTCAGTTTAGACATTTTCAATTACAATGTAAAATGTGTGTATTATTCCTATGAGTTATATAATTATATGCCACTGTTTAGTGCAGAAGGTTTTGATTACAATTTTGATAAATTACTGTAGTTCTCTGAAACAGTAAAGAAACTGTTTATTCTATACAATGATGTATTTGTATTACAATCTGAGTTATATGTATAGGTACACAGGGGAGATATTTTAGGTTTTAAAAGTGCTTTGGGAGATACCACTGAATATAAAGGGCTGTAAAATGTAAGCGCTTCTAAGAAATTATAAAAAGACTTATTTATAATGCATTAATTCTGCTGTTCCAGGATGGAGAATATGAACTCTGATTAGGTTGCAGCCATTTGATCATGTTAGCAGCAAACTATAAAAACGCCTTAGCATCCTAAGGGTTAAACATTGACAAATATTTGCTATATAACTTTAATATTCTGTCCTAAACACTTGATTATATACAGCCTCTTTCTCTAGCTCAGGAAGTGCACTTGCTGCTGTAAGTGAATCCCAAAAGGTGAACATAATTTCTCTTTAAAGAATAAAGCATAAGAAGATAGTGTATATGGAGATTTTACAGCTGAGTGGAAAAGCTCAGACTGAATCAGTCTTGCCAGCAAAATGGTGAACTTTGACCATATTATTTGTAAAATATTTGGATGAAATCCTTTCTGTTCTCATGTGTTTTACCAGCTGGTCACTGATTTTGTTAAAGGAGAAGTGTTTGTTAAAGGTTCACCATTACACTGGGGTGGAGAGGCTGCAGAGCTGGCTACAAACACTGTGGATCCTTTATTCTGTGTCCCTCATGACACCCTCTCTCCCTACTCCAGAGGAATCATGCTCCTTCCAGAACCTCTCTCAGAGGGAACCCCAGTATGGAGTGAGGCTTCAAAAAGGTAATACAGCCTCAGGAGAGGACAGTGTTGTGGCAGCCAAGTGTGGGCCAAATACAAGCTGGGCATTGAGCAGCAGCAGCGGCAATGGTAGAGATCGCAGAGGATTAGTGTAGAGGATGGTGTGTAGAGGTCCTGAGATATGGCTGGGAAAAGGTCAATAGAAAACTTGGTTATGAGCATTTTCAGTGAAGTGAAGATAGTAAAATCTGATCTGGAGGAGATCCAGGGTAAAGTTGGAGGAGAGGGAGTTGAGGCAGTGGTTGTAAACTGCCCCTTGGATGAGATTTGTTGATGAAGGTGAAAAGGCAAGTGGCGTGATATTTGTGGGGCAGTCAGGTGGAGGGTCCGCATTCTGAGGACAGGAGAAATCCGATCATGCTTTTATTGTGAGATAAAGGAGCCAGAGGAGAGGACTCAGAAGATGGTGAGAGTGAGAGCAAGTGAGATGCTGCAGGAGGAAATGTGGGACAGATGGATGTGTTTTGGAGGAGAACAGGTTAGAAACCTTGATGTCTGATGGAGGAGGGGGGAAAAGCAAAGGGCAGGAAGGAAATGAGAGTGAAAAAAGGGAGAGAGGAGGGAAATCAGGGCTGATCTTATTGATATTCTGTTTGAAGAAGTTAGCAAGATCCTAAGCAGAGAGGAAGGAGGATGCAGGGGAGGGGAGGATTTAGGAGAGAATCAAAAGTTGTAAATAAGTGATATGGGGGGCGGCTTGTATTGGGAGCCAGTGAGGTTGGAAAAATAATGCTGTTTGCTAAGAAATATGCAGAACTGAAGAAGGAAAGAACTAATTTTCAGTAGGGAAAATCTGCACGGTCATAGGATTTCACCAGAGACATTCAGCAGCACTTAATTGGCTGTTGGAAGTGACCCAGGCTCAAGGGCTGGCAGAATGGACTTTGCCCTGGGAAAGACAGGGAAGCGAATTGAGGACATAGTGGAGCAGAGGGATCTGACAGTTGTCACCAGAAGAGGAGGAGGAGAGAGCAGGGAGAAGACTGAGAGGTAGGGAAGTCATAAACACAGATGTATTGGAGGTCACAGAAGGGCTGGGAGGAGGGGTGATGTCAGGCAGCTGGGGAATGCTGAAGGAGATGAGTTGATCGTGAGAGTGGAAACGCAAATATTCAAAGATCAGAGAAGGGGCAGTGTTTAGTGAAGACTACGTCATTGTTCCATGAGAGGGATAAAATGATTCAGAGTTGAAGATCAAATACAGAAACGAGGGTAAGGAGCTGGAAAACTAGTGGGTGGGGTGGGACATCAAACAAAGTTGATTTCACTGAGAATGAAGGTTGTGGATTGTAAGGAAAGGAATAGGGTGAGCTGGGTGTTCTAGTCAGAGTGGAAGGTGGCTGAGGAGGAGTCTGGTTGAGGATGGTTGATGGTAGCTTTGGGGAGTGGGAAAAGAGAGTAAAGTCAGATGAGAGGTGTTTGAAGAAGGAGAATATGTAGGGTGGAAGTTGCTGCAAGTGAGAGGAGCAGGAGCGGGAAAGCCTGACAATCGTGTGGGGACAATCTGAAATGAGGGATTTGAGAGCGAGTGGGGGGGGAGGGGCATTGAGAGAACGAGCAGCTGCAGAGGCAGTGTTGGGAGGTGGGGGCAGGATCCAGGATTCTGCTAGTGCCGGAGATGGAGAGAGTGGGAGATGAAGGGGCTTTGGATAGTAGTGATTTTTTCTGAGAACAATGTATCTTTTTCATTGTTCTTGATTAAAGTAGCGCTAGATAGATTTTTTTTACTTATTAAGAATCTTCATATAAAAGAAGCCAAGGAGAATCAATAATACCCTCTTACAGCAACTGTATCACATGTGCATATCAACTATGTGGCAAAACTTGTTCCTCTTCTATGCAAGAACTAAAACTAGATATCACTTACTCTTACGCACACATAGCCAGTAATACTTCATGCTTGTAGTGTTCTATTCTATTGTATGAGAGCTCAAGGGATGAACACCACAATGTTCTGTACCAGAAAACTGCTGCATTTATCCAGTATATAAATTTCTCACAGTAATTTTGTGGTATTGCTATCTTCTAGATCCCCCATTACAGCTCAAGTTGTCTCACTATATTTTTCCATGCAAAGAGAGGTTTAAATAAAAAAATTAAAAAAAAAAACCACACCAAAAAAAAAACAACAACCCACCACACCACGGGGATACATACTATGGCAGGGCACTTTGAAATGAATTTTGAAACATCTAACTGTGAACTGCAACAACCACACTGAATTTCTTTTCATTATGGCTCTCCCAAGGATCATGCTGTTGTTAGTGGAAATGTGTTGATTAAAACTTCCATTTATACGGTACATCTTGTTGTCATACACATTTCCAGAATCTAGAATCTTTTCCTTCTCTGATTATCTGAAGGAAGAAATTGTAATATTTTGGCGTATGCAAGATACTTGACATGTGGACCCAGTTCTGCCCCCATGTAAACCAATACATCTTCCCTTGAAATTGATAGGTGCTGTGTATGGATACTTGAGGGTAGATTTGGGCTTGTATTTATAAGTAGAGATGGGCCAGGTTGTTGGTGTTTAGATCTCAGTTGCGATTAAGTTTAGACTAGTGTTCAGGTTTCAGGCTTGGATTTGTTTTACATGAGCGACACTGGAATCTCATGAGCTGTTCTCACTAACTTTTGGCACTAAAGGGCAGAAATGTCAGGAGAGTAGCATGTTCCTGCAAGACTTCTGCCACTTTAGGGCAAAATCTCATGAGAAATAGCTGTTTGTGTTAAACTTGGGCAGCATCTGAACAAGAACCAAAGCTCTAGGGGCCACTTTGAATCTTAAGAGCTAAATGATCTAAGTCCCTAAAATGGATGGATGGATCAGGTAATTTGGGGATCTAAATGCACTCATTTGTTCCATGTGAAGAAGAGAAAACTTTAAGGGGAACTGAATTTTTGTCTCCATTATGCATATATAGAATCATAGAATATCAGGGTTGGAAGGGACCTCAGGTCATCTAGTCCAACCCCCTCCTCAAAGCAGGACCAATCCCCAATTTTTGCCCCAGATCCCTAAATGGCCCCCTCAAGGACTGAGCTCACAACTCTGGGTTTAGCAGGCCAATGCTCAAACCACTGAGCTATCCCTCCCCCCTTGCTTTATTGTTGGAGGATTAATCAGAAGTGACAGGCTACCTGAATTTTTTTGGGGGGGGGGGGGGGGGGAAGACCACTGAAGCAAGTTTTGAAATAAAGCACATTTAAAAATTGTATGGGCACTGCAAATAGCTATTGGAGGAGGGGAGAAGTAGATCAAATTTGGGGGGTCCCTGGATGGTCATTTTAACATTGGATTGTCATAAAGATGTTAAAGCAGGAAGTTCAGATTGCAGGACAGCTGTTTGAGTCATTCAATCCTAAATACAAGATCAAGTTCTGAACCCAAACAAAATGTTATCATACTAGTAATGTCAACATATGTGATGAGTTTGCAAAGTGGAAAACAGGATGCTCTGTAATTATTTCTGCTTGCCTTTATCTTTTGAAACCTACTGTATGACTCTAAATATAAACCTTATTGGTGTTTTGAAATAACCTTAAAGTATTGTGAAGTGATGGTTAGTATTTGATATCATATCTATGCACTGTTGTATTATTTATATTGATGACTTACGTTTACACAGTGTCTTTCATCTAGAAGGATCTCAACACACTTGATAAACTGCAGCATACATGCATTACTTCACCCACTCTTGAAATGCAGCCATCTCTGGAGAGGAACACAGTGCTACACAGTTAAGGTTGGAAATTAATAATACCATAGCCCATTGAAATCACAGTGGGTTTCTGGGTAAGCAGAATGTATCTACTGAATTAGACACAAGTCTTTACACAAATTTTCAGATGAAAAGTACTGGTGGCATAGGGATTGCTTTGGTGCCTGAAGAGCTGAACATCCTGATAAGTTTTAAAATGTAATTTTCTTTCTTATAAGGCCACACCACTCTTTATAAAAGAGCACACCATTTTCCCAAGATAAAGTCTAAAAAGTCTGACAGATAATCACAAAGAAAATGACACCATAAAAAAAAAGAGTAATTTGCCATAATTACTGCTAAGAGCCCTCGGAAGTGATAATTGGCTGCCTCTTTCCTTTAATAAAGCAATGAAAAGCAAAATACAACATAGCTCTTTGGCTCCGCAAGCCAGAATGTCTTTATACAGAGATGAGATGTGCTCTGTTTTCTGTCATCTTTGGGCAAATGTCGAATTTTGGATAAGTGTTCCACTACCATCATAAAAAGATTACTCTGAAAATTAATTTCTGGACATTTAAATAAAAATGGTGCATTCTAAAAAATTCCAGATGGAGTAAATTAGATTTTTTTTCTGATTACCTAAAATTTTCCTTGCACTTTAAATTAGACACACTATTTTTATCACTTCCTAGTCCTGAACTGATGAATAATATTTGTGTACACTGACATTCTACTCCAGAGATCTAAGCACAGGTACTTAAATCCAAAGCAATAGATGGCTCTATGTCAGGAGGGTATGAAATTATTCCTATATATCTAGTGATTTCTGGTTTCAGTGGGACTACTCATATGAGTAAGGGTTTGCATGATTTGTAAATTTAGTTAAAGCACTTTGAAAAGGTCATTTTCTTTCTTAAAAGGCCATGCCACTCTCAAAAAAAAAACAACAACAACAACAAAAACAACAAAAAACTTTTCTAGATCACGTGTATATTTGTCATGGGTAGGTTATTTCTACCCATAAGTGACATATTTAAGAGATCCAAACCCAGCTCCAGTTCCCAATAAGGATGTGACAACAGTAAAACAAATATATTTTCCCAAAGAGCCCTCTGATCCACTTCAGGAAATTTATCCTCCCCTATTTTTACTATGCCTCTCGCCAAAATCCTTCATACAGCCTATTTCTCTCCGCCAGAGAAGGGCTGAATTTGTCTGTCTTTGGAGTCGGTTAACACCACTCCATGCAGTGACCTAAAGGAGCACTAAAGAGTGATGCAAGACTTCTCCCTTCCTTCCCTCGGGGGGCATAGTGTCCTGCCTGTTTTTGCAGCATCATTTCCTGCGCTCCTGGAAGCATCGTATCCAAACTCAGGGTATGTCTGTACTACCCGCCGGATCAGTGGGCAGCGATCAATCCAGCGGGGGAGGTCAATTTCTCCCGTCTAGTCTAGACGGAATAAATCGACGCCCGAGCGCTCTCCCATCGACTCCTGTACTCCAGCACCGTGAGAGGCACAACCCTAGAAATACTTAATAATTTGTATTTTTCATACTCAAACAATTTGCACAACAGCCCTGTGAGTTGGAGTGGTGTTATGTGGAAACAATAGGCAAAGAGAGTAAGTGACTTATCCAAGACCATAAATGGGGATCCACTTTCTAGAACTGGGATTAGAACTCAGGAATTTCTGTTTAGCAGTCCTGCTGGCTGTATTTACCACTGTGCGTAAGTGGGGGGGAAAACATTAGCTAAAGTTAAGAGAAGAATATTAATTCAAGATTAATAAGTCCGATACAACAAAAGCAGCGGGGATGAATACATTGTTATCAAGTTTGTGTGTGTTTTTTTAATAGTGCTGCTACAGTGCAGGGTCTTGCATGTTTCCATTTTTAAACTCCTATTTTCCCTATTTTTTGTTTCAACTAAAAATGTAAATTTTCTCCAGCCAGCTATCTGGCATATTCAGGGCCTGTTTGAGCCCAGGAAAGAACTGGAATTGCAACGTCTTTTCTAGAGCAGTTGCACATAGTTACCATGCAGTGCCCTGCCTGCTAGGTAGCATAGTGCTCAATGCACAAGAACGCATCACACCTGAGCTCTGTATTTTATGCAGTTCTGTTTTGTATAAATTATTATACTGTACTTATCAGCACAGTAACTAAGTGCCTTCCAGTAGTGCATTAAGCAATGTGACTCACATCTGTCACGTGTTTGTTCTTTCAGCCTCTCTCCAGGAGAAGCATGTGCAATAGACTGCCTTGTTTTAGTTGGGTGTTTTAATATATATATGTTGATATGTATGTTAGAGAAGGCAGGGTCAAAGACATATGCCTTGCACTTGGAGCAGAAGGTGGTGAGGTTTGATGGTTCTTAGTTTCTTCAGGAGTTAATTCCACAGTCTTGGACAGCCCCCTGAGAAAGTTCTGTCTCCTCCATATACTAGACTTACCCTTACAGTAGAAAGTTTTATTGTGCCAGAGGAGCAGAGTTATTGGCTATGGTCTCCATTCTGGAGCTTTAGGCTTTTAGATTCTATGGGGCCCAGGCCATGGAGGGATTTGAAAATAAGGACTGAGACCATGAACTTGATTCATAATTCTGTGAGAAGCCAGTGTAGAGAGTGGAGGACAAGTTTGATGTGCAAGTGGTAGCCTGTGTTGCTGAGAAGATGCGCTGCACAGTTCTGTGCTAGTTGGGGTTTCCTAAGTGTGGAAGGCCTCATGCCCAGATATACTGCATTGCGGTAGACAAGCTGAGAGGAGAGGTGACAAAGATAGGGATAACTGAGGCCCCGTCATCATCTGCCAAGATGGGATGGAGTCTTCTAGCGACCCAGAGATGACAGAAAGCGTAACTTGTGGATGATTCCCTATCCCATTCCAAATTTACCCAAGGTTCTGGTATTAATTATTAAAGCCCTCAAAGACTTGGGCTTAGCTATGTCAGAGGTCATCACTTTCTCTGTAACCTACTGCAATCTTGGGGATATTGTGTCTGACAGACTCCAGGGTGAAAATCTCAGGAACTGGGGACTGGACGTTCCCACTGGCAGGCACTCATCTGTGGAACTCCTTACTACCAGAAATAAGCATGAGCTTTGGTCTTCCCACAGTTAGGGCACAACATAAGACCTCCTTCATACAAGCCTTCCGTCCAGGAAGCCAATGGAATGTGTTGTGCAACATCATTCAGGTGATCTGAACAAGTGAGAATACCACACTCAAAAAGTGTGGAGAATTTGGTCCATTAGTCTTGTTGCTATTTTTTGCTTATGCAATTGGTGCTTAGATACTGAATTGATAGATGCATTAAAAATTCACAGACATAGATTAGATAGATTCCTCTGCTTATTTGCAGTTGTCAATCTTTGATGCCAAGTATAATTTTCTTGTGGGTTTGTATTCTGTATGTGTACTTTTAGATAAAATATGTGCATGCTAGTCATTTATTTATGAATACAAACCTTGTAGAATCACATGGTGTATTAGTGTGAAATTCCAGGATATGAGTCAGCCTATGGACCAGGGGTCGGCTGGAAATATGCCATAGGTTGCCTATCCCTGCTATGGACCATTTTGCATAGTCTGTAGTGATCTTTTGCCCAAAAAAAAAAAAAAAAAAAAAAAAAAAATTTAAATAGCACATTGATTAATGCTTGTTGAAACTTTATTAGTCAAAGTTGTGGGTGTCTTCAGATTGCTGATTATATTCTTCTATCATATAATGAGAAAGGAAAAAAGGAACAAGTTCAGGCTCCTTGCTCACAACTGCTTTAATGTACTGATCTTTCACGTGTGATATACTGTGCCTCTGAGTTGTCAGTGAGGAGGTTTTTTATCATTATGAAGAATGAGGGAGAGCCAATTTTAAGATTCCAGGACTGTACCAAAAATGGGCACTTATTAAGTTGGAACCCTGTCCATCCCCAAATTTTGATGCTGCTGGCCCTCAAACTCAGCATGTTTCCAAGATTCTGCACTCTGAGGTTGCAACCAATTCTGATGGTATTTATTGCTAACCAACAGCTGCAGAATGCCTCTACACCTATCCTAGACTGATTTATTCCCTGAGGTGGAATAATTTTCCACCCCACTGTATTGCTATTCCTGTATTATTATTCAGACCTGATAAGCAGACACAGGAGACTTGTGCTCAGTGAGTCCTCAGAGTCTGCCCAGGTTTTTACTAACAGATTGTAATTCATCCATAGAAGAAATGTAAAGTACCGTCACCTCTTCTTAGTGGATTTCTGAAATGGAGCTGTCAGCTATGTAAATGGCGGAGGGGAACCATGCAACACTTGCTTTCCCAGCACAGGTTTGAGTGGTACCAGTGTTAGTCTGTATCAGCAGAAACAACAAGGAGTTCTTTTGGCACCTTAGAGACTAACAAATTTATTTGGGCGTAAGCTTTTGTGGGCTGGAATCTACTAAAGCTTATGCCCAAATAAATTTGTTAAAGCTTTGTGGGCTGGAATCTACTAAAGCTTTAACAAATTTATTTGGGCATAAGCTTTAGTAGATTCCAGCCCACAAAAGCTTACGCCCAAATAAATTTGTTAGTCTCTAAGGCACCACAAGGACTCCTCGTTGTTTTTCCCAGCACAGTTGGTGATCAGGTAGCATAGGAGACCTCTGACTAAGGAGAGTCCCTCAAACTGCACTGACCAGTAGATGTAGCTCACCTGCCAGAGCACAACATGCTTTATCATGTCAGGGCTGAACACATATATAGCATCCCTGCTCCAGCCTGATTTGTTCCATACATAGGCTATGTGGGCAAATCACCACAGCCCAAGAACTGCAGAAACTCCTATGATCTATGTGGCCTCAACATGGTGGAAGGAGACTAGGTGTAGTATAAGGAGCTGTTAAGCACAGGACTTGTGGATCTGATTATATAAACTTCTCCTGGATCTCTTGTGCATGGAACTCCTTTTTATTATTTTGTGTTGCAGTACTGCTTGGAGGTCCCAGTCAGGGATCAGTACTAGACACTGTACATGCC